CATTCATGTATTTAAAACAATAAAAGCTAGCAACTGAGAAGATCAACTAAAGAATGGATTTCTAGGTGCTGAGGAGAACAATGTAACATTCAAAACCATAGCAAAAGATATTCAAACTGAAGAGGTAAAGATATTCAAATTGAAGAGGTAAGTAACTTGTAAACCGAATCCTCCTTCCTTCTTCAGTGATCTACAACAATTAATTAAGAAGATAACTTGTAAAACACCTTTCAAATCAGAAGAAGAGAGAACGTGATTATTAATTTAAATGATGTGCAATGGTATGCTTTCACAGACAACCACCACAAAGAATCCTGAAATATGCTTAGGCCTTTTTTTTTCTTCTGTTGTTAACTATGCCATATTTCACAAACCAAGAAATCAGATGTCATTTTTCTTAGGAAACCCAGTAATGGTACTAACTTCACAAACCAAGAATTCATACTTACAACCAACATTTCACACTTACAACCAACATTTCACACAAACCCAATTCAAATTAAAGCTCAACCAAACCCTAGAAAACCAAAGCAACAAAATTAAGCTTCAGAATCAGCTCAAACAAACTAGCAAACCTTAAAACTAAAACCAAAAAAACAAAACCCAAATAAAATCTTTAGAAATAACCTTTATTACTTCTCATAATTCTCCTATGCAAGAACTCTGAACTCAACAATGTAAAATTGAAAAAGAAAAAAGTGTAAAAATACCCAGATAGAGAACTAAGCAAAAAGGAGGAAAGGAAATGAAGAAATGAACATCTCACCCATGTTTTCCTTCCCAAATTGGTTTTCTTTCAAGAGGAATATGGAAAGGCGGAAGCAGAACAGAAAAAAAAAATCGTGACAGAAAGTAGTCAAGGCGGACGAGATTCTTTGGTAAGAAATGAAATCAAGGGATTCTGACCCAAATACAGAATTAAATAGAGCTGATCTAGGAGGTAGTCATATGCAAATCAATAAAAATTTGAGGAAGGAAGAGGAATTACCTAAGGCGCTGATTTATCAAGAGAGATGATGAAAAGTCAGGTAAATGCGCGCGATTGAGAACCTACTATCAAGGAGAGGCTGAGTGGCCGATGACGCGAAGGTGAGAGAGCAGCGGCAGAGTCAGGGCGGACGGTGAAGGCTCATCGTCGTCGATGAGAAGAGAGTGCAGACCAAATTCAATTCAAAATTGAAATTCGGGGGTTTTAAGGTGAAATTGAAATGCACGGTATTTATTCTTGAGAATGACTCTGTTAAAATACATGTATTTCATCCAAATTCAATTACATTTTATTTAGGTAAAAACAAACAGTAAAATTGAATTTGAGCACTTCAAATTCAAATACACACTATCAAATTCAAGTTGCCAAACAGAGCATTAAAAAAATTTACCTACCTATGGCAGCCCCCAATGACTACGTGTTTGATCGATTCCTCTAGTTTTTTTCATTAATTATCTCGACTTCATGTTGTAAGGATGCTCCGGCTTAGCAAAGTCTGCTGAGCCACTATGTTAAGTCAGAGCATCCCTACAACAAGAAATTGAGAATAATGAAAACAGTGCCTATGAGCAGCAATTCAGAGCAATTACAGCTATTGAAATCAACCCCAGAACTTTTCTCCTCTCTGTTTGGTTTTCTACTTACTTTTCCTATGGTTGCTCTCTCTACGTACCCAAATCCCATCTCTATATATATTAGAACAATTGAAGCCCTAATTCTCTGAATAGGAAAGATTACATACTAATGTCTATAGATTCTATCTTTTCTCCAGGAAATCCAAACTAGGAAAGAACCTGTGCCTCTCGATCCCCCAATCTTCTCTTGCAAGCATTGGCGATTGGCGATTGGACCTGTGCCTCTCGATCCCCCAATCTTCTCTTGCAAGCATTGGCGATTGGCGATTGGCGAATGAGACTTTTGAAAATCTCTTCAGTTAATTGTGGTGGATTTGGTCCATTTGGAAAGAATTTTTTTTTTCCTTTACCGTTATCAAACTGACATAATAGTTATTTAATTCATTAAGGTATGTTTGATTTGAAAAAAATTATAAAGAAATTCTCATATTTTTCCTCCCCTCCTCTCCTCTCCTCTTCCCGCTTCTTTTTCTTTTCTTTTTTTTCAATAAGTAAATAAAAGAACTATCTCAACTCTCTTCTATTTACTCAAACCAAATTTACCCTAAATCCTCTTATGCATATACCCATAGTGTATGGTAAGGACTTCTATTTCTCATTTCTTAAATGATTCCATCCCAATTTTCCTGCTTGCAGCATATTACTCTGCCTCTTAGTGGTCTTTCCAATTTCAAGATCACCATATAGATTTAAAAAAAAAAAAAGAAAAAAGGAAAAAGATAATGAATTATAATATAGATATTTTTAATTAACCACAATTCCAATAGCAATTCCAGCAAAATCCTCTATAACGAAAGGGCACAACACATCTACAACCCTTTCTCTTATTCACACAAAACAGCAATAAAAAAAAGAAAACAGAATACTTAAACTATCCTTGTTGACATATATCCTGCAGGGTCCCGTAGAGACCTTCTGTGTAGTTTACTCCTGTAGCCTTCAACCATGGTCCTGATTCGGCTTCCAGTAACCCAGCTACGGTAAATTTCATTGCCTCTTTTGTGTCGTTGATAACACGATACCCTTTCCAGCAGACCCGCTTGCTAGTATTAGCACCAGGGCCACAATTCGAAAATTCACGATAGTAAATCGTATTCAATGAAGCAGATCTTCCGTCCATTGCAGCCCAACCTGCTGGGTCGATGTGGTCTCCGATATAGGATTGCATCACAACAGTTGTTGAATAATCCATCCAAGGTCGGCCCAAATATGTTTTAACTGAGCTCTTAACAGGCTCAAGATCATTGCTGGCTATAATTCGACAATGCTGAATTGATATCCCAGATACCTGGTTTGGATCCTTCCGTCCTTGGGCTGTGATAGCGTTGAATTGACCCGGTAAGGGCTTCCGAGCTATAATGGTGCAGTTCTGTAACACAACGGCTGCATCCCCGAATATGAAGTCTATGGTGCCTATAATGGTGCAGTCTCGGAAGAATTGATGACCAATGAAAGTCAGCAGAGTGTCCTGGTAACCTTCGATTCGACAACGGTTTATGATAGATTTGTCACCCCCCACACGAAGCGCCACGGCTTGACCATTTTCCACTTTTGGTCCGGCTGTGTTCTGGAAGCATATATCTTGAGCTATGAATCCTTCGGTATCAGCACCTGAAAAAGCAGAAAAATACAATTAACGGCGAGAAATTAATATTTTTTAAACAATGCGAGAACAAACAAACAAACAAAAAAATCAAATTAGAAACTTTATCAAATAATGATAGATATTTTAAGGTTTAATGTGTATTTATTTACCAAAAGTTGCAGAGTGGTAAGTATCGATTCCAGGTCTAATAGTGGAGTACAAGGCCGCTGTGATTATAGTCGAGTCCATGCCGTCCCCAACAATCATAAGATTCTTCTTCTTTTGGTCAACAACGACATTTTCTTGATATATTCCTTTCTTAATGTAGATGACAAACCGGGTATTGCTGTTGTTGGGTGCTGCAGTAACAGCTTCTTGCACGGTCTTGAAGTTCCCGCTCCCATCTTTAGCCACCACCAAGTTAGGCTTAATTTCCTCTAGCCCAACCCTTAAGAGGGTCTTATCCATGCTAGTGACCCAGGTTGGAAATTCTTCAATCTCAGATATGTTTGGCCTTTTAGGCAAACTTGCAACAATAATGCCCAAGGAAGTAGTTGCTTGGGATATCAAGTTACCTAATGCAGGCTCCATTAGAGATCTAGCAGTACCCTCTAAGTTACCCTTGCATGTGTGATAGTGTGTGAGAATGCCACTTAACCATGTATGGACATTGGCATAAGAATGAACATCTTGATTTTTTAGAGCTGCCACAGAATCTTTTGTTTTTTCTTGGGAATTTTGCATCAACTCCACACAAAAAGTCAATGCTGCAGCTTCTTTTGGATTGTTTGTTTGATTCTTTACATGGTCAGCCAATTTGATGGCGTTTTCTATGTCTAGAATAGATTGTTGCAAGAAGGGTGATAGCTTATCATCATAGGTTGATGGTAGCAAAGAATGAAAAAAGTCACTTTTTAACAAATAAGCAAAAGTGACGACAAGGAAGGGGAGTGGGTAGAAAAACTTGGATGAAGTTTTTCGTTTGGAGGCATGTAAGAGAGGCTGATCCATTAGCTACTAAGGATGAGACAAAAGCAAGACGAAGATTTAGTATTGTGTACTGTCTTAATAGAGTTGGTTGGATGTAATAGATTTGTATGTTTTAGGTTTGGAGGAAACTATCTATTTATAGTGTTTTCTTTTTCCTATTAAATTACTAGTGGAATTAGAATTTCAAAATGTTTTAGGATTTTATCTTTCCAGTAAGTAGAATTATTAATCAAAGTAGAATTTCAAACTATATTAGAATTAATTTTTTGTTAGCAATTACATAATAGATTACTAATTAAATTTAAATTTTAAAATAAGTTAA